CAGTTGCTCTTAGTCGTCGCAGCCAACAGGATAAATGTTAAGTGCCAGTTATCCAATACTGTCCAACCTCAAGCCACCAAACTATTTCCTTTTACAATCCAGCTTGAAACACGCCTCCAAGAAAAATGTGTGCCATGTCATAATTTTAATTCTGAAGGTCTTACATAATTAAGATTCCTACGTAAAACCCTCTCCCTTAGTAACTTATTATTTTTTAAAGTGGGAGAATTATAGGGGTAGACAGCAAGCGTTTTCATTTTTGCATTTCTCTAAACCCATTCATTAATTTTAAAAAAAGCAAAATGCATCTACCCTGCTGGAATATTTACAAAAGTGGGAAGTTCATTGCTGACTGAATCACATTTATTTAATCTAGTATTAGACGGCTTTTTTTAAACCAGATGGAAAACATTAGCAGTGATAGTGAGCAAACATATCCATGCTCCCAGAGGTCATTTTTAACCACCATTAACAATCTGGTTTCCACAGATTAGTAATATGCAAAAGGCAGCGGTCCAGTAAAATAGTCACAAAAGGCAGCAGAAGCCTCTGTGCTCTTTATTTACCTAACATTTAACCGTTTTTAAAAGCCCTTTGTAAGTGAGACCCTGGAATCTTCTAAGCTCCAAATTGGCGTATTTTACCAAGAAGTTAAAGTAAATTATTGACATAAATAGACACGAATGCAACAGATCAATAAAGCAATAGCAGTAAAACCTCCATAAAGCTGATGAAAAGAAATACCAGTGTTGTTGATGGCTTTGCTGCGGATTAATATAGTTTCCACTGACTGGCTATTTGTTTGGTAGATTTTGTGTAAAGCTACTAATTGTGAAGTGGAAAAGATGACTCTGTATATTTATTATATTTTCCTTTTAAATGTAATGTTGTAATTGAAATGTAAAGGTGAAATTCCACAAAATACACTGAAATTATAAGAGAACATGTTAAGAACATGGCTTCTAGAGTCATCAGTTTATGAGCAATCATCTCATTTAAATGGTTTTTTTGAATGAGTGGGAAAGTTCTGGAATGACAGTCTCATGTTCTGTAGATGGATGTAGGGGTATGTGTGTGTGTGCTTGCTTCTTCAGGTTTCATATGATGCCTGAAACAGCTATGCACTCAATAAGTTACCGAGACTAGAATAAGCCCAAGCGAAACCGCACTTTTCTTCAAAGTACTGTCATTTCTTTAGTGTATTTTTTTCCTTGTGTGCAATTTGAGTGAAATTTTGCAACGCAAATTTATTTTTTCCATTCAGCCATTCGCACATGTTTTGGGTTATATTTTTTGAAATGAAATTTTTGTTTTATACTGGTTTAATTACAAAGTTGGTATACATCTTTTTCACACCAGATCTTTCCCATTTCCTTTACCCTTCCCAATTGGGTTGTATTTTTATTCTTTTTAAATTGTTCATATTCACGGCACGTTTTGCTTTATAACATTAATTACAAGCACAGTCTAGCCACACTTGCCCACTCCCTCCATGTGATTCTCATTTCCATTAATCCCTCTGTCCTCCCTCTTCCTGCCTTCTAAGCTCAGACCCTGGACAAATGCTGCCCTTTTGACATTATAGGTTGATTATTCTAAATGAGTGTCTCCCTGGTCTAATTGTTCCCCTTATAGGCCTGTGTCTTGTTTGGCTGAAGTCTCAGCCCTGGTGCCTGGTGATGACTTTTATTCTAGGATCCAGGGCCATATCCTGAGGGTTTTACTGGTCTCTTTTGGACCAGAAAGGCTGGCTGTTTTCATGTTTTTGTATTTTTGTTGCACATTTTCACTCTCTGTATCCAGGATTTTCTACTGTCCTTTTCAGAATGAAGTCTCATTTTTCTTTTACAGACTTACTTAGAATTTGTTTTCAACCTTCATGTTATTCTTCTTTTAGATAGTCTTTTTCAGAAAAGCATATCAAGGTTTATACTTAAAATGCTTTGCGGATATTTTCTCATCATTTTCTTCTCATATGGAGAAGAAAGCCAGGGCATTAAAGCTCGAGAGAACACCTGAGCCTGTAGAGTGAGTCCGTGTTTAAGCTGGGATTGGAAATGATGTGGTGCAGATATGATCTAGACGTTAGGGGAAATGCCTGTCAGTAAAGAACTTAGATGCCAAAAATATTACTTACTGTCCTTATAATGGGCAGCCAGCGCCTCTCCTCCTTCATTTAGCTCTGCATGTGCTCTGGGGAGACTAATAGTATATAGAGCTGTGCCCTACTCGGACACAGGTTGTTTTTGTTGTGTACCATTGAGTTAGAACCCACTCGTAGCTCACCGTCCAGCAGGTTCCACCCAGGTGGTATAAACCTGCTCAGTTGCTAGCTGAATGGTTGGGGGTTCAAGGCCATCCAGAGGCCCTTAAAAGAAAGGAGCAACAATTAAAAAAATAAAAAGCAACAAAAACCAACAGCCGTTGAAAACCTATTCTGACACACGTTGTTGTTGTTGTTGTTGTTGTTGTTGTTGTTTAGTGTTGAGTCGAACAAACTTGTAGCTTACCCTCCAGCAGGTTTTCAGAGGCAGCAAATTGCTCTTGATTGCCCATCCTCCTGCAAAGCAGCTAGTAGATTTGAACAGTGTACCTTTGGGTTGACAGCACAATTCCTTACCACTAAGCCACTGTCAGCTCAATGGCAGTTGGCTTCATACACACACACACACACACCCCATCAAGTAGAATGCAGGGTAGTCATGTTGAGTCATATCATGGTGAGGATTCTCCTCACTGTGATGCAGCCAGTCACCTTGAGAAGAAGTTCTCCTTCAGTTGACATGAAACCTGCCACGACTCCTACCTGTGACCATTACATTCCATTTCTTGTTAAGGGAAATAAACAAATAGAGAAAGGACAGATTCTGGCTATTTAGAATTTACTGCTTCCTGGGTCCTTTCCAAGACATTTGTATCTAGTGTTTACTATGTGTCCGAGGAGCACCGGGGGGGCATAGTGCATTTTGTGCTGGGCTGTTAACCAAAGATCAGAGGTTCTGATCCCATAACCACTCCTTGAGAGAGAGATGGGCAAGCTCCCACTCACCTCCCTGACCCCCAGTAATAGTTAAGATTTAGAACCTTGGAAACTCAATGGAAGGGTCTTCATGAGATGGAATCTACTTGACACTGAGGGTTTGGTTTTGAGTATTGTTCATCCTACACTGCCATCCTGAAGACATGTGGTTCAAATTCACCAGTTGCTCCACAGAAGATAAAGATGAGACATCTCTTTCCATATGATTTACTGTTTCTGACTGCTGTGAGTTTGTTCTGATTCTTACTACAGAGCAACACACTGTACTAGGCACCAGCCACATTAGAAAGATAAGAGCCCCTGCCTTCAGAGAGCACTGGGAATTGCCCATCAGCTGAGGAAACAAAAGGGCCTTGACCATGGTAAATACAGGGTATTCTGGGAACATCTGAGGGAGCAACCAGGATGGAAAAGAGGATTCCAGGAGACCTTCTGAGAGCACCTTGACTGGACTGCCTGTTTAGATGCAAATGCAAAACTTAATTAATTTAAGGGGGATGGAAGAGATCTATATTTGTTCCCATTCCAAAGAAAGGTGACCCAACTGAGTGTGGAAACTACAGAACAGTGTCATTGATTTCACATGCAAGCAAG